ACAGGATAATATTCACTTTACTTTCTTTTAGTTCCAGCTGAGTAGCCATGGCCCTCACTCCCGTGGCAGCTTCAGTCTGTATGATGAGGTATGATGTGTACAAAAGGCGCAGACCAGGACAAAACCTACAGCCTCCATTTGTTGCACAAGCCAAACAGACATTTTTCAAACTAATTAGCCAATAATATGCAAGAGAAAAAGTAATATCGTGCGACGAACAAAGGTGTTGATGATTGAGTGCTCACACTGTAATTAGTGTGTCAGGCCCTCGTTTCTCTGCCAAGCCTCAGCTATTAATTGCACCAAATTAGAAAACTATATCAGAGGCAAAATTATTCTTTCACTTGTCATTTTGAGAGAGGGAATTCATTCCATTCAAGAGGCAGGTTAAAAAGAGGGGACGCAGATACTAATCTGCTTATGTCATGTAAATAAATGTTCCTCGTGCTATCTGGAAGGAAGTGTGCTAGGCATCTCAAAACTGCTGGGAAAGGACTTACCTTCCAAGTTGCCGCATTACGCCTGAAGTAAGCAAATGTCCGGGTAAACCAGCTGTAAATTTCATTAAGTGTTAACTGCCTGTCAGATGACTCCATGATAGCCTGAAATGAGACAAGATACACAGTGACATAAAAGAATGGTTTACTAACTACAGGAGATGACACTTTCCCATCCGAGCCTTTCTTTAAGCATTAATGAATCTTAATTTAATCAGGCAAAGTTAATTTTCCTCCTCCTTACCTGCCTTATGAGAGTTGCATAAGTAAACGGAGGTCTGACATCTGCATTTTTATAAAACTCGTAGTTTGGGGCAATCTCTACAAAAATAAAAACTAGGTGTTAATTCTGCTAATATTTCACATTCGGGTATAATTGATTTTTCATCTTTTCCCTAGTATTGGTAAAGTGATTCAGTGAGAACGCCACTGACTAGCGAAAGCACAGAGCATGACAGTGGAATTGAATTATATGGAAAAGGCCATTTCTGACGCGAAGTGCAAATGAAGCGTCCCCTAGTTGCTGGCGGTACTTGGGGAGCAGTGTGACCAGCTGGCCTGAGGATTTTTTCCAACAGCCAGGTCCTCTTTTAAGCGGGTGGTTCAGGCATGTTCTTACATGGACTTTTGCCCCCTGCCATAATCTTTGCTTTTCTCATCTAATACTTCTTAAAGAACAACAGGATCATCTCTCGGCATCTGTGGCCATCTAACAAAAGAAACACAAAACCCTCAGGAGCACCCATGCCGAAAATAACTTCCCCTTTTGTAAAAAGGGGGCTCTGGGCTAATAATGGTTACAACGTGTGACTGTGATTATCCAGACGCCCGGGATGGGGGTGGGGGGTGGGAGGAAGGGAGAAGGGTAAGAGAGGGAGAAGAGGTGGATTTTTGTTCCATGCAAACTTGGCCTCTCACAACGCATAGTAAGCAGAGTAGCAACCAGACTTTCACGGCTGAGGTTGGATTTCATTTAGGTAGCACCCCAATAAAGACTGCTTTAACACGCGAAGCCCGGGGTGTCTTGCATAAAGCACCAGCAGTGCTTCGTATATGTCCTTTTAAACAGCTCTTCTCACATAGCATCAACGCGCAGTGGTGGAGTCGCTATAGCCTTGTTTCCTCTGAGAGATCAAAGGATCTCGTTGAACAGAGGTGATAATATGGGCTATCCTGACAACACATCTCTCAATGTCTCTAATGGGGAGAGCATTCTTTCCTGAACAACCATTCAGAACAATTCATCACGATGTGCTTAGGGAATCGCCCCATCCGCCCCTTTTACCAGGAATAAAACAATTATCACTCCATAAATCATGACTTGAGTTGCCATGTGCCCTGGAATGGCTCATGGCCAGTTGCTTCAGCTACAGTTTTCCTCTCCCAAAGTAAAAGAGCTCTACTGAGCGTTCATATCCTACCTGATGACATGGGAATGTTGTATTTGTCTGAATGTCGCCTTCGTATGGCTCCCACATTGGGCACACTGGCTGGGGTGATTACTGAGGGTCCCTGGGTAATCGGGGTGACTGGGGCCGTTGGTGTGGTAGGGGTTTGAGGTAAGCTCTGTGGGGATGTCTCCAACATGTTCTTCGACATGGTGACACTAGACACCAGATTTAGCTGCAAAGGCCCCAGAGAAGGGCAGGAAAAAGGTAGAGACAAGAGAAAAAGACTTAAAAAGGTTTGACAAATGAGAGTGGATTCACTTCTACAGCTGTGTTGCCACTAATAAGCTGCAAAAGGAAGCAGCCAATCTCAACTAATTACAGGATGAAATTGTATCATAAGAACTCTAATTAGAGGATGCTGTTAGAGGTTATCTAATAATCTACTGCAATGTTACTTAGGACTAACTCCTTCTTGTCCTACCAGACTTCGGCGAAAGTCTATTTCCTTAAATAAAAGCCAGTTGCTGATTATTCCTGCCCCTGTTGTTAAACAGGTCTAGCCCCTGGTGAAGCAACAATAGCAACAACCAGGGACGTGATGTTTTCAACCAA